CCCACCCGCCCGCGCCCGACGAGGGAAAGGGAACTAGGCTTTGGGGATGGACTACGGCAGACACGTCGAGAGCAGGTGGTGGCCCCTTCGAAGCCGCTGCCGACGTCGACGCCCCTGCCCCTATTTTTTCTCTTGCCCTACCCCTTCTCCTGTGTTTGTTCTTGCCCCTACCCTGTCTCTGGTCCCCTGCCCCTTCCCCTGTTTCTTTTCTTGCCCCTACCCCTGTCTCTGGCCCCCTGCCCCTTCTCCTGTGTTTGCTCTTGCCCCTACCCCTGCCTCTGACCCCCTTCCCGTGCCCCTGCCCTTCCCCGCGCCGTATTTGCGACGACCGACGCCGTACGACCTTCACTCTCACCAGCGACGACCAGCGCACCTGCCACGCCACACCATATGGCTGCGTCCGCCACCGCCCCGCGCCACAGCAGACGACCCCCTCCCTCTCCCTTCTCTCCTCTCCCCTCTCCTTCTCTTCCTCTCCCTTCTCTCCCTCCTTTCCCTTCTTTCCCACTCCTCTCCCTTCTCTTCCCTTTTCCTCTCTCTTCTCTCCCTCTCCGTCTTCCTCTCCCTTCTCTCTCTCTCCCTTTTCTCTCTCTTCTCTCCCTCCCTCTCCCCCTCCTCGTTCTCGTCTGCGTCAAAGTCCCGCGCTTTCTGTTTGCACATTAATTACCATGATTAGTGTTTACAATGTTGATTACTGTGCTTTCTCCCTCCCCCCCCTTCCCCCCTCCCCCCTCCCCCCCTTTCGCGCGTTCGCCTCTCGAGTCGTATTTTCCGGCTCGTCCTCGCTCCCTGGCTCTCAAAATGTTAAATGTTTATCTATATTCTTCATGTGTTGTTTTCTGTGTCGTGTGCGTGGGTTTGTGTGTGTGTGTGTGGTGTGTGTGTGGTGTGTGTGTGTGTGTGGTGGGGTGTGTGTGTGTGTGCGTGTGTGGGTAAACATATGTGTAGGCCCAGTGTGCGTACGCGTGTGGGTAAAGCGTGTGTAGGCCCAGTGTGCGTATGTATGTGGGTATACGTGTGTGTGTGTAGGCCCAACGTGTGTATGTACGTTCGTGTGTGTGCGTGCGTGCGTGTGTACGTGTGTTTCTCGTGGCGTCAGCATTCACACGCACTTTCTCCGGCCCGCGCTGCCTCGCCTCATGAATCTTTTATTGCAGGTTTTCTCGCCTTAAACCCCATTATGACACTTGGTTCCCTTATGCCGAAGGGTCATTTCTCTCCTCTCATGAATCTCCCATCTTAATCCCCATCCATTTTTTTCCCTTAATTTGAATTGTTTTCAGGAAGACGTAGAGGAAGCGAGAGAGAGAGAGAGAGAGAGGAAGAAGGAATGAAGCAAAAATACCTCTTTTCTTGCCTCTTTGGCTTCGTACTCATTATATTGTGCCATGTTCAGCGTGTCTACAGATGGAGCCAGACCGTGTGTACGTGTGTGTGTGTGTGTGTGTGTGTGTGTGTGTGTGTGTGTGTGTGTGTGTGTGTTTGTGTGAGGGGGAGGGGAGGGGAAGGTGTTTGTGTGTGTGTGTGTGTGGTGGGTTTGTGTGTGTGTGTCTGTCTGTCTGTAGAGTGATCAGCATATTATTGACTTGTTATGTTAACATGAACCGATTTGTGTCTCCACAGAACATACCGTTAGATTTTATATCAGTAACCCATCCTTCACCATATCCATTTCCACACCTTTCATTCCTCCTCCACTCCCTCCCCTCTCCCTCCCTCCCTCCCCTCCCTCCTCCTCCTCCTCCTCCCTCCTCCTCCTCCTCCTCCTCCCCTCCTCCTCCTCCTCCTCCTCCTCCCCTTCCTCATCCCTCCTCCTCCTCTCCTTTCTCTTCCCCTCCTCCTCCCTCCTTCCTCTCCTCCTCCTCCACTCATCTCCTCCCTCTCTTCCATAACTCTTGATCATCTTCTTACCCTCCCCCCCCCCCTCCTTCCCCTCTCTTCCACATGTTTCTTCCTCTCCGTTCCCCTTTTTTTCATCTTATCCTCCTCCTCCCTGTTCCTTCCCCTCTCTCCCCTCCCTCCTTCCCTTCTCGTTCATCTCCTCTTCCTCCCCTTCTCCTCTCTCCCCTACCCCTCTCCCTCTTCTATCTTCTTCTTGCTCCTCCTCCCTCTTCTTTCTCCCTCCCCCCTCTCCGCTCCCTCTCCTCCTCCTCCCTCCCTCTCTTCCCTCCCTCTCCCTCCCTCCCTCTCCTTCCTCCCTCCCTTCTCCTCCTTCCCTCCCTCTCCTTCCTCCCCTCCCTCTCCCTCTCCCTCCCCCTCCCTCCACTGGCGCTGACTCTTGCTTCCCTCGACCCACGCGCCCTGACCACTTTTCTTTTGTCCTTCCTTCCCCGTCGCTCTTGCTACACCTTCTCCTCTTCACTCTTCCTCCTTCCGAATCTTTCCTACAGTTCTCGCTTTCCCTTGTTAAAAGTTGCTCTGCCTCTTCGGTTTCTTTTTTTATTCGTCTTCTTTCGTTTTTCTGTCTCTCTGCCCCTCAGTCTCTCATTTCCTTCTGCCTTCTGTCCACATCCCTTTCAACTTCCCACCTTTCTAGTTCCCCGTCCCTCATCTTCTTTCTTACCTTTTCCCCTCCCCTCCCCCTTTCTCTCTCCCCTCCCCTCTATCCTCTCCCTCTTCCTCTTCCCTTCCCCCTTCCTTTTCCTCCCCCATGTTCCCTGTTCCCTTCCCCCTCTCCTCTCCCTTCACCTTCTCCCTCCCCCTTCCCTAACCCCTCCTCCCCTCTCCCTCCCCCTTCCCACCCCCTCTCCTTCTCCCCCCCCCTTCTCCTTCCCTCCCTCCCTTCTCCCTCTCTCCCTCTCCCTCCACTTCCCCCTTCCTCTCCCTCCCTCTCCACCTTCTCCCTCTCCCTCCACCATGCTCCCTCCCCCTTCCCTCCCCCTCTCCCCAACACGTAAAGCTAACACGCTATCATCATCTTATAGGGCAGCGAATCATCTCTCGGGACCACAATGAACGGATCCCGGTTTAACAGGACAACGGTAAGTGCTAGGGAGGTGGTTTCCTACCTTTAAAAAAATATATATATATATATATATATCTAAAATGGAGGAAACTTTTCGTAAATCCCCGCAACCTCCTAAAGCATTATTTTTTTTTTGGTACTCATCCCTGCCTTCTCTGTATTTTATTTTCCTTTTTTTTCCTCCCAAAGCCTTGCAGCATCAGCAAGCTACCTCACCCTCTGCCATGCGTCGCTGTGTTGGCCTGTTTATATGTGTTTTTTTTCGCTTGTCGGCTTCTATTTCTTCTTGTTTATTTGTTTTTTTTTAAGTTTAAGTTTTCTTAGTCTCTATTTTTTTAGAATACTTTTTATTTAGTCGTGTTGTCTTGATATATAAAACCCGCCTACCCCCTTTTGATCTATAGTGAGTGAGTAGTATGTTTTTTTTTTTTTAATTGTCTGTAGTTCTGTGTTTTGTCATGGAGGAGGTGGGGGGAGGGGACCGGGGGGGTAGACTGGAAAAAGGGACATGCACATAAAAAAAGGGTTTTTAAAGTGCCACTGTACCTTAAACTTCATTAAAGGTGCCAGTCTTTTCCTGGGTCTGATGCCACCGTGCCACTCTTCTCTGGGTCTGAATGTGCCACGGTGCTGTGCCAAACGCTGCTAGCATCCCTTACAGGCTGCCTAGAGGCGGCGATCTATCCTAAAAGCTTTCTCTGTGATGGTGCTGCTTTATAATATCCATTGCTAGTGGAGGCACTGCGCCGCTGCCAAGGCTGGGTGCCCGCCAGCATCCGCAAAGCTTTCTAGGACGTCCTCAAAGGTACCTCGGAGTCTGCGGAGGTCCGGGGGGAGGGGAGGGGAGGAGAGGGGAGAGGGGAAGGGGAGGAGGAAGGTAGGGATAGAAGAGAGGGAGGGAGAGAGAGATAGGAGAGGGGAAAGGAGGAGGAAGGTAGGGATAGAAGAGGGAGGGAGGGAGAGAGAGATAGGGGAGGGAGGAAGGGAGAGAGGGGGGGATAGGAGAGGGAGGGAGGGAGAGGGAGAGGAAAGTAGGAAAAAAAGGAGAGAGGGAGGGTAGGAAGGGAGCCAAGGAAAGATAGGAAAGGGTGGGTTAGGTTGCAGGGAACTTATCAAATGCTAAAAATATAAGTAGGGAGTTATCATTGAATGTACAGAAAGAAAATAATAATTATAGCTAAATAAACATAAACAAATGCAATATAATGTTGGTAGAGATTCACTTTGGGTTGTATCCACTGAACTTAAAGACTAATGGAGATATTTTTAAAAAGGGAAATAGGGGAAAATGCTATTCCAAAACCCAACTCAGTACTCATGGGAAGACAACCAGCAAAGTCTCTAGGGAAGTCAAAAGGATAGTCCTCGGCTCCGAATAACTTTGAGGATTCGTTGCCTGCCCAGACAAGCCCGTGGGAGCTAAGACGGTACTTCTGGTATGTGTAGTAGGTACACCTGTGTCCTCCTCTCGTGGTGGGTGTGTGTGTTTTGTGTGTCTTTGGTACCGGTGGCTCTTGGGTTTATCGACGGACGAGAAACACTTAGCACTTCCAAGCACAAGAAGACCTAAGGGGTTGACTGCCTCGTGCTTGGACTTCCTGAGCGTTCCTTGCCCGTGAAACACCTTTATAA